CTTTTGGACTTGACAATCTACATTCTTAAAGAAATTATCACCTCTATGTCTATATAAACTTCTGAAGATATGTAATAAAACATGGCTTTACCGCAATAGTACTACCAATAAAAAAAATGAACTACCTCTGCCCCTGATTCTTATAGGCCTAATATAACCTAACTCACTCTCTGGAACTAACTTTATCCCTAACAAATTATTAAACTTAGCACATGTCCTCCACTCCCTCCTACACCTATATTTATAAATGATTCACCTCTTCCCGTAATTAATTATGATAAAATACTGGGTTTGACATTTGACTTTCGCCTCTCTAGGAAAGAGATTTTTAAGTTAAAAAGTTTCTATCACAAAATAATTAATAATATTCTTAAAACACTATCTCATTATCACTGTAGTGCAGCTGAAAAGGCGCTGCCTTAAGTATACAAAGTACTTATTTGCTCTAAATTAGATAACGGCAGCATTACTTGTACGTCCACTTTCAAAAAAGATCTGGAATCTTTAAACTCTCTCCATAATACAGCCCTTTGACAATCCATCTGAGAGCCTCTACTGTTAAACCGATGACTCCCCCCCTATGGATTAGATGGAAATATCTTCTTCTTTCCTATGCTGCATCTTCTCTTTTCTGACGTCCTTAATCCTGTCTACAATTTATTCACAACAACCTATACCACACTTACCCTAATAATAAACCCTATATTTTCTATAGGGTTTATTATTAGGGTAAGTGTGGTAATATTTTTAAGGTCATGTAATACCAAGAACAAAAGGCTAAAATCAGAATAAAAAGCGAAACATCTGAAAAAATCAATATCGAGAAGGGAGTAAGACAGGGATGTGTCCTATCACCTTTGCTGTTCAATGTTTACTCTGAGAAGATATTTCAGAAAGCTTTGGAAGACACCACGGGTGGTATAATTATAAACGGGCAATGTATAAATAACCTGATATGCTGATGACACTGTCATACTGGCAGATAATGCTGAAGCCCTGCAACGCTTAATGGACCGAGTAACGACAGCCTGTAGAGAATTTGGAATGAAATTGAATACAAAGAAGATAAAAACGATGGTCATCAGCAAGCACCAAAACAGAAGGGTGAAGGTCAATGTCGACGGAACAGATCTGGAAAGAGTAACAAGAACAACGTACCTTGAAAGTTATCTTGATGAAACTTGGGACCACTCACTAGAGATAAGAAATACGCCTGGAAAAGGCACGTAGAATGTTTTACAAAATGCAAAAAGTTCTATGCAACCGCCAGCTGGGCATCTCATTGAGAACTAGAATACTTAAGTGTTATGTTTTCTGCACCTTGCTCTATGGTGATGAAGCCTGGACAATGACAGAAGCAACACAAAAAAGAATCCAAGCATTTGAACTCTGGTATTACCGTAAAATGCTCAGAATATCCTACATGAGCCATACGACAAATGCGGAAGTCTTGCGGAGGATGAATAAGGAAAGAGAGCTTATGCTTATAATAAAAGAACGGAAAACACAATATTTTGGTCACATCATAAGAAATCAAAAGTATGAACTGCTCCAACTTATAATCGAAGGCAAAGTCAATAGCAAAAGAGGATCAGGAAGAAGACGCAACTCTTGGCTTAAAAACCTACGGCAATGGACGAACATGACCTCCATAAAACTATTCAGGGCTGCTACAAATAAGATTAAATGGGCAAATGTAATGGCCAACATCCTTAAAGATAAGGCACCGTAAGAAGAAGAAGAATATTTTCTATATAAATGCCAAGAAATCGAAATTCTACAAAGTAATCAGAGGTAATCGTGAAAAGTATTGATAATACCTGGAAAAGTTACATACGAAATCTATTTTTTGAACCTGCGAGAGGGAGAACCCGTATCCGATACCTACAGAAACAGACCTACGGACCACCTATACTAGTGGCAGATTTAAGAGCAGTCATAATATCACTTAAAGAAGGGAGAGCTCCAGGACTAGACAGTCTGAATTGCTTAAACTCCTTGATGATGAATCTTTAAGAATACTTTAATAATATCTATGACACAGGCAATATTGCAAAAGATTGGCTAGTTTAAGAATTTATTACGTTTTCAAGTAAACAGGGAGCGAAAAAGTGCGGAGAATATAGGCTAATAAGTCTAATGAGCCAGCCATACACTAAAACTTTTTCTTAAAATTATACATCGTATAATATACAAGCTAGAGAGAATACAAGACGAAGAAAGGCGAGGGTACGAGAGATGCATTGTTTATGTAGTCCACAGTAAAGATGAAGAAATAATATGATTTTGATGAGAAGAAGAACATCATGGTAAAAAATCTGATGAAATAGTATTCTACAACAACAAACTAATCTATTTATGGCATCAGTTAATAAAATTATAGCCAGAATGATCGCCAATATTCTAAACGAATATGCACCAAAAGACGAAGATATTTTCTATATTATCTACAATAACAAACGACATCATCTTTACACTAACAAATCCCGTCTTCTTACTTCCAATTCCTCCTTGGATAATGCACCACCTCAAACTAACACGTATTTAACAAAATTCAATAAATACAAAACACCTAAAGAACTTATGATATATTTTTTTTAATTATACACGATAATCACTTTTACCAAGTATTATATACTTACACTTCCAAAAGTGATTTGGTGGTTGGCTATTCAGTCATCTCTAAAACCATCTCATTTATTCTTCTTCCTTTCCTCTTTTTGCAGCGTACATACTGGAGAGTTGTAAAGTGTCCTACAGGCTGTCAAGCATATAAACCTTCCGAACAAAAATGTTGCCATTTGTACAGACTCTCTAGCTTCCATTTTATGTATTCAGGAATTATTTACCGATCATTCCCTTGTACAAAGTATTCATCACTGTTACCACCACATTTTTACATTAAACCAATTGGCAAAGAACTCGCAGATCAGCATGTTAAAATGGCTTCAACAACTTACATCCAAATTTGAAAAGATTTAAAAACAGAAGCATACATATTCACCAGGAGATTATGACAAACCCACTGGATCTCCTTAAATACATTCTTAAGTGAAATCCAACCCTCATGGTATAAACCTGGCCTTAAAACTGTCCCACGGGACTATCTAGACAAGACCTTGCCATTATACGACGAATCTGTATAGACCACACCAAAGTAACACACAGTTTCCTGATGACATCAGATGCCCGGCTTGGCAAAGTAAGATGCCAGCTTAACCTCAAACCGCAGCTAGGTGACATTCTGAGTGATTGCAACAAGATATTTTATTTTTTATTATTTATTATACATAAGCAAGGGCAGAGGGACAAGTCCCTATTATGCCCAAAAACATAGAAATCTCATTAGTAACCTACTAGTAAATTACAAAATTACAAAAAAAATAAAATTTCAATTTTTGGTTTAAAAGAAAAACAATATTTTAACTACAAGATAAAACGGTCAAGTCTGTTTTTGAACGAGTTGGTAGAGGCCAGTAGAAGAAGCAAAGACAATGTTATCATTAAGGTTATTACAGCACTCAAAAACTCTATTTGGTAGAAAGTTCTGTCTTGATGTTGTAGAAAAGTTTTCTGTTTTTAGTTTAAACTGATAACCTCTGAGGCGTTGATCGTGATTCATGGTAAATATTTGATCGAGATTTCCAAAATTGGAAGTCGCGAAGTTTAAAAGAAGTTAGGTTAGCCATACTAAGTCTTTCTGCATAACAAGGTCTTCTTGGCCCCAAAGGAATTCGAGTGACTTTTCTTTGTACGTTTTACAACAAAGTCTCGAACCAAATCAGGATACCACGTTGGTCCAGCGTATTCAAGTATGGGTCTTACGTAAATAGTGTATGGTTTACAGAATTATTCCATTAAAACTCTCGAAAAACACCTCTGAATAAGATACAGTCTGGAGTTCGCACGTTTACAAACAGAGGTAATATGGTCGGACCAAGTTAGGCTGCTGTTTACGATAACACCAAGGTCGTTAGACGAGAACACCGAATCTAATGGCTGTCCGCTAACAAAGTACAGCACAAATGGGATATTTTTACCAATTCGAAGCACTACACATTTTTGTGCTTTTAAGGGTAGTTACCACTGGAAACACCAAGTTAAGATAGAGTCGAAGACCATTTGAAGGGGTTATCTGGTTTGTGATTAGATTGGCATATATCTTTGTGTCATTAGCGTAGAGCAATATTTTACTCGAAATATAATAAGGAACATCGCTAGTAAAATCCGTAAAAAAAAGAGGTCCAAGGACAGATCTCTGAAGCACTCCACTTTCCACTAACTTGTCCTGTGTTAGTTCTTAGACAGAATTCTTCAGTTTATTAGGAAAAAAATTATTGTATTATAAAGTCTAAAATATTTATATGACATAACCCCGTTGTAATGTTGTTTGTAATTGCAACCGCATGAGTGGCCATGGTTGCCGAGCACGTAAATGTAAATTAAAAAAATAAATAAATAAAAATACAAATATTATTAAAATATCGAAAAATCACACTTCAAAAATATGTCCAGAGCACAAAAAAACGACCTAACATTTTAACTATCAATGATAAATGCCCAAAAACTGAAATGCCTTTAGTCACTATAGACTTAAAAGTACCAAATAGATTTTAAAAGTACCAAGGCAAAATATATTATTTGTTTTGTTATTGAGTATTTATCATAAATTATATGTATTATTATTGTGAGGTTAAAAACCTTTTGATTTTTCTCTAAATTACTGGTATATTTAAGTATGATTGTGCACTGCGCCTCGTGCACCTGACGGTGCTGGTTTCACTGTGTATTTTTTGTTTTTTAGTTTATTAACACGCAAATATAAAAACATACCGTTTAAGTGTTATCTCAAGCTGTATTAAAGTTATTAATAAAAATATATTTTAACGAAATAAATGGGTTACGGTCTGCTCTCCAAAACGTTAATTAAACCAATTGTTTCCCAACGTATTAAAACTATTCAAACGATTACAAAAATATTTATGTCAATGTTTACTTACTGTGACATATTTTTTCGACAGCAGGAACGAAATATCCATCACAGATGATAGCAATAGCCGCAAACAGGTACACAGTAACTAGTATATGAACAATGACAGCTCCATTTTGTAGCTGTGTTCTCGTGAAGATATCCTGAGGGAATTCATCAATGGCAGGAGGGGTGCAGTTGGCACCTAAAACGGCCTTTTCTAACATGGATGATAACAAGAAGATAAGATTTTTATTAAAAGATTTGGCGTTTATGTCATTTTTTTCATAAATTCTGGTAGCAATTAAAGAGATGTTAAGCGAAAATTTTATTTTATATTTTTGTCTTATCTGACGTAGGTGAACAGTGGCGTATACCGAAATGTATTTTTAGTCTCTCGGTGTGAAATAAGCATGTGCGTGGAATCGATGTACTGAATGAGATAAAATTATTATTAATAGATATTATTTCCTTGAGAAACGTAAATATAAATAAGTATAAGATAAACAGAACACAACAAATTCACCAATTATATTTATGTACACAGTATGGTGCAAACTAAAGGAAGAAATTCGTTATTTTGTAAGCTGAAGACTTTAAGAAATAATCTTGAAACCGCTTAATCTTTATTTTTAAACAAGCTATTCGTAACGATACCTTTTTATTTTTGATGTCATATATGTGAGCCTGATGACTATCACATTAATGACAATGTTAAAATTTTGAAATGGAAATGTGGGTGTTGTAATACATTATTTAAAAGGTCTTTTAAATACGCATTAAGCCATATTAGTATGTACAGAATTGATTTGCGAACTATTATAAAATATTATTGATGAAACTTCAACGGATTTCTTAATAAAATATATTGTATTGTTTGATGTATTTATTGACACCAAAAATAAATGTTGTAAAGGCTGTCACTGGTATTAAAATGTCTTATATACCTACTTTTTACCTTCTTTAAAAATCTGGTTACCTTATTGACATCAACATTGATACTTGGACATTCTAAGTTAATCAACTTTCTGTCAAGTGATTAATAGTATATTAGACGTACCTATTCAAAAGTATTTGTATCCATCAACATGAAACTGACTGAAACGCAACTAATTGAAATTATATTACTGACTGGTTGTGGTGATAAAACATGTACGGAGAAAGAAGTATGTACGTTATTTAATAGTATATACCCCAACCGAAAAATGGAACCCACGCGTGCAAGATGGGAAAGGGAAATACCTATTAGAATGGATCTACGCCATGGGACGTACCGTGTTAAATGACGGTAAGGCACCTACATTCGTGAGAGGTAATAGTGAATCCTTTCTGGACATCACCCTGGCTTCAACGACATTTCTAAACAGGGTCATAAGCTGGACTGTTTTGGAAGAAGAATCACTCAGCTTACACAAGTATGTGAGTTTTGAAATAGCTATCAAAATCCAGAAACGTAAAATGGGGATATCAATCTAAAGATATGTTTAAATGAGAACGTTTTTGTAGATGTTTTCGTCGTGATTGGTCCGGGATGTGAGGATGTGTGTGAGTTAATTAAGGATCTGAGTAATGCACAGGAGCTGGCTTGTGTTAAAATCAAATGGGAGGTATGAAAGAAAACAAGCATACTGTTGGAACGAGCAGCCTGAAAATTTGAAAATCTGAGGACAAACTGCATGAGAGTAAGAAACGAGTGTAGAAGGTTAAGTACAAGCAGGAGATTTGGAAGTAAGAATAAATTAATTACAGCGAATGCAGAATGAATACAGGAATGAGATAAAAAGATCTAAGAAAGAAAGGTGAAGTAACCTGCTTCAGAATCTCGAAAGGAATATCTGGTACAGGGCTTCATGAGAGTCTCTACCGAATTAACGGGGAAAAAGACATCCTAACCCCTTGCCAGGAGGAGAAACTCCGTTTAATACGGGAGGGTTATTGGTTTCGTTTTGATGCGGAACCTTTCACTGAATTGAAACTCAGCGAGGTTGTTGTACGGATGAAGATCCGAAAAGCACCTGGCATAGATGGAGTCATGCCAAAGACAGTAAGACTCGCCGCACTAAATTACCCACAGGTTTTTCTGAGATTTCTAAACAAACTGCTTGAAGAACAACAGTTTCCAATAATGTTGAAAGAAGCTAAGGTGTCTGTATCCCGAAAGGTAGAGATGAAGAGGAAGAGGTGCGATTTCGGCCAATTTGCCTTCTTAGTTCGATAGCTAAATTGTACGAATAGCTTATAAAAGGCCATCTTAAGCGAGAGCTAGAAGAAAAGCATGCGCTAAACCGACCGCCAATATGGTCTTTATAATAGTGACTCTTTAGTCACGCAAGATACAAAAAAAATGGGTGGCTCTCATCCTACTTGACGGCAAAAATGCCTTTAATACGGCATTATGGAAAAAAATAATGTCCAGGCTGAGAGAATTGGACGTTTGTGAGTACCTAGTCAACGTAATTGACAGATACTTTACTGACAGGTCCATAAGAGAAAAGATACCAGCATCAGTTTCTCGCAGGATGTTCCGCAGGGTTCAGTACTAGGTCCCATCCTATGGAATGTCCTGTACGATGGGGTGTGAAGGCTACAGTTGCCAGGGAGTTGCACTCTTGTAGCTTATGCCGATGATCTCGCACTGGTTGCGAAGACGAGTCAGAAAACGGACATGGCTAATGCGGATAATACAGCCTGCGTCGCATTAGTAGGTGGATCATAGAAAACGATCTACAGCTGGCGCCTCAGAAAACTAAGGTATTAGTTCTCAAAGGGACCCGGGAAAAATCCTCTCTTTGCTTTATAGTGGAAGATGTGGAGGTTGCACCGGTTAAATCAATTAAGTATCTGGGAGTCTGGTTGTCGGAAAGTCTAAGGTTCGGAGTACACATCCAAAAGACAGTAGAGATGGCGAATCGAAATCTGGAGGCATTGATGCGGCTGATGCCCAACATTGGAGACCCAGGTAGCACTAAAAGAAAGGTGCTAAATGGAGTTTTCCAGGCGGTGGTAACCTATGCTGTCCCGTGTGGTGTAGTGTACTAACACTGCGAAATACGCTAGACTGATGGGGACTTTGCAAAGGCGAATACTCCTCGGGGTATCTAGCGCATATAGACCAGTTTTAAATAAGGTTTTATATGTCATTGAAGAGGTAATACCGATCGTTTTGTTGTGTAAAGAGCGAGCGAGGATGTATGCGAGGAGGATGGATGTAGATACAGATGAGAATGAGAGAAAAAGAACAATAGTAGAGTGGCAGATAGAATGGGCAAATGATAGTAGAAAGGCAAGGTGGACGAAGGAGCTTATTCCCGATCTGAGACCGTGATGGGAATGTAAGTTTAGGAAACTAGACTATTTCCTGACGCAGTTTCTGACCGGATATGGTATTTTAGGCACTTTTACAAATAGAATAGGCAAGATCGGCAAGATTGGCAATAGGTAAGCCTCGGCAGACTGTACTGTTTGTGGGGTACCGGACGATCCCGCCCACATTTTTAACTGCCCGAGATGGGCAAATGAGATGGGAGATTTTGAAACACGAATTGGTTACTGAATGAATGAGGATCTCAAATTTATGGTTAATATTATTTATTAGTTTATGGCTTAATGTGTGAAACATTTTCTAATTTACGGTAATAGGTGTGGTTATTTATAAATTTTTAGGTTTTTATTTTAGTTGTTTATTGAGTGGCAAGACCACCTCTCTGGAACGGTGGTAAAAGTTTTAGCCGGAACACGGTTAATCCGGCACTACCCTGGGGTCTTCTGGCCTAGTATTCCACTTGGCCGAAAGATGCCAGGGTGTCTTGTTCCGTTACGTACATGTCCAAAAAAGATTTCCCCACCATTGCCTGTTAGAATTCAATGAATATCTTCTTAGGCGCTTACTGTAATCTGGCAATACGGCAATTTAAAAGAAAAAAAACCGTGAACCAATTTGATAATCCACTGTGAGCAAAATTAAGACAAAATTCCTGATTCAGAAACGAGCCATGTCAAATACCTACCTATAGGTAGTAGAAAAGCAATATCTGAAAACAAACAACTAAAAGTTCTGTTAGTCTTTCAAGATAATCCTCATACCAGTTCACGGCAACTAGCAGATAATAATATGGACCATGCTAAAAGAAGAAAAGTTCCATTCCTGTAAAGTAACTTTAATGGAAGAACTTGAAAAATGAAAGATAATTTTAATAGACGAATTGAATTTTTTGAAATTATATTGGAAACAAATAACAGAGATCCAATGTTTTAAAAAAATTTCTTCTCTTTGATGAAGTTACATTTCTACTAAACAGTCATGTCAATCCATACTGTACTCAATATGGAGAGAAAGTTCTTGTTTCGGCAATAATAATAGATAATAGGATTATTAGACCACACTATTTAGAATTTATTCGAAACTTCTTGCTCCTCGAATTTAACCGATTGTTTTCAAACAGAAATGATTTATGGCAGCAGCAAGATGGTGCGCCTTCACACTACGCTCTCTTAGTATACAACTACTTAAACAACGTCTTTCCAAATCGGTTGAAAGGTCTTCTTCATATACCAAGTCCTTTCAGAACTTTGGTTACCATTACAGCTATCTTATATTTATTTACTGCCACCCTAAATAGCATGCTTGTATTAAAGATGGATAGGTTGAAGAGGAACAATAGAATGGCCACCTAGGTTACTTTATTTGACTCCTGTTGTTTTTTTAATACGGATACTTGAAAATTAAAGTGTACCAAAATTGACCACAAGTTACCAATAGACTTAAAGAAAGGATACATATTGAGATTACAAAATAACTACGGAAGTTATAGAGAAGGTCCGAGAAGAGTTTGCGGCACCTGTTTCTCATTGTATTTTAGATAAAGGTAAACAATTTGAGAACTTAATTTAGATTTTGTTGTATTTAATGAATAATACATAATAAATACTTATTGTAATAATAAAAATTTATTAATATTTTAAACAAATACAAAACAACAATTACTCATACATATTGATATGACTGCATAGGTATTTAAGAGACCTTACAAACAATGTATTACAACACTCACATTTCCATTTAAAAAATTTTAGCAATGGCGTCATAATGTTCACGTAGATGACGTCGAATAGCCTGTTTAAAAATAAAAATCGACAGGTTTGAGGATTTTTCTTAAAGTTGTTAGAACCTCCACTATTTTAGTAGGCGAAGAAATGAAGCACTAAAAAGTATGATTTCGGATAAAAATAACGAATAATGAAATAAAATAGTTCGATGGCTGGAGAAACTACTGAACTATGATTTTGAAATTCACC